CTTTCTCCCGCGGAGCGGCTGGTAGTTCCGAACCGCTGACCTTAAGGTTCGCAGCACGATGGAACCACTGTTCCATCTTTCTCCCATGGAACAGCTGGTAGTTTTGAACTACTGACCTTGAGGTTTGCATCCCGATTTGTAACCACTATGCTACCAGAGCTTCTTGAGTAGTCAATAAAGCACAGGTAAACATCTTTCTGGAATTCTCTGCTTTCAGTCAAGATTCATACAAATACAGACTAGGAAGAATGAGAGACAGACTACTTCTGAATATTAAGTCACTGAAAACCTTATGAATAGCAGGGGAACACGGTCAGCACCAGAATACTGAATATTTAAACACGATGCAGAGCACCAGAATATTGTCAGATATAATGCTGGAATATGAGCCCCTCCGGCTGGAAGGTTCTCAGAATGTGACTGGGGAAGAGCTGCCTCTTCAAAGTAGAGTTGGCTGTGATGACACAAATTGAGTAAAACACTGGGGACCTTCATTTGCTGTTAGGGCACAACTCAAAATGAAGAGAAACAGCTGTATATATGCATTATTAATGAGAATATGGCATGTACAAAGTATGAATCTAGGAAAATTGGAAACTGTCAAAAATGAAATGGAATGCATAAACACTGATGTCCTAGGCATTAGTGAGCTGAAATGGACTGCTATTGGCCATTTTGAATCTGACAATCACATGGTTTGCTATGTGGGGAATGACAAACTGAAGAGGAATAGCATCGCATTCGTCATCAAAATGAACATGTCAAGATATGTCTTGATAGGATAATAGCCATATGACTAGAAGGAAGATCTGTTAATATTAATCAAACGATGACACTGCTAGGTAAGTGTCAGTTGTTGTTGTTATTATTAAGTGCCATCAAGTCGGTTCCACTCTTAGTGAACCTGTGGACCGAGAACCACAAGGTTGGCTGTTCACACCCACCAGCTGCTCTTTGTAAACCGTATTACAGGGTCACTATGAGTTGAAACCGACCTGATGGCACTTAACAACAACAAAAGGACTTCCAAAGAGTGTCTGGTGGGTTTTTGAACCTCTGGCCTTTAGGTTAGCAGTCCAGTGCTTCTTACAGTACCACACTAAGACCCCAAATGTTAAAACAACAGAATTTTATTTAATTTGTACAGTAATATACTCCTTTCAAATATATTCTTACATTTCTTTCACATTCACCAAAATTTGGTTGTTGTTGTTGTTGTTAAGTGCCGTCGAGTCGGTTCCGACCCATAGCGACCCTGTACAGGGTTTCCGAGGGTGTAAATCCTTACGGGAGTAGAAAGCCTCATCTTTCTCCCGCAGAGCGGCTGGTAGTTTCGAACGGCTGACCTTAAGGTTCGCAGCCCGATTCGTAACCACTACGCTGTAGATAAACAAATTTGTTAGATAAACACTATTTTTGTCTCCATTTTAAAGATGGGGAAATTATAGCTCAAAAAGGTTATATGAATTAAATTTTTAAATCCTGGTTTTCAGAAGATGCCTGTTTTATTGATGGTAATAAATTATATTAAGAAACACAAAATTTTTATGAAAGAAAATTAAGTGATGCATTCTAAATTTAAATTAAAATAATGTTTTTTTAAAAGTTGCAGTTCTCTTGATTTATCAATAATACCACATATTTCTGTTATATATAATTAATAATTTAAGAGAATGAAAACAGTGGATTTTTTGAACATTTTTTGTTTTTAAACTCTCACCATCCTTATTCAACCTGTATGCTGAGCAAATCATCCGAGAAGCTGGGTTCTATGAGGAAAAATGTGGCATCAGGATTGGAGGAAGACTCATTAACAACCTGCGATATGCAGATGATACAACCTTGCTTGCTGAAAGTGAAGAGGAAGTAAAATATTTACTGATGAAGATCAAAGAGCACAGCCTTTGGTATGGATTACATCTTAATGTAAAGTAAACAAAAATCCTCACCACGGAACCCATAACCAACATTCATATCAATGGAGAAAAGATTGAAGTTGTCAAGGACTTCATTCTTTTTGGATCAACTATTAACACTCAAAGCAGCAGTCAAGAAATCAAACAACATATTGCAATAGACAAATCTGCTGCACAAGACCTTTTTAAAGTGTTGAAGAGCAAGGATGTCAGCTTGAGGACTAAGGTGTGCTTGACCCAAGCCATGGTATTTTCAATAACCTCATATTCAAGTGAAAGCTGGACAGTGAATAAGGAAGACCATAGAAAAATTGATGCTTTTGAGTTGTGGTGTTAGAGGAGAATATTGAAAGTGCCACGGGCTGCCAAAAGAACCAACAGATCTGTGTCAGAAGAAGTGCATCCAGAGTGCTCCTTGGAGGTCACGATGGCCAGGCTTCGTCTCTCATACTTTGGACATATTGTCAGGAGGGACCAGTCGCTGGAGAAGGATACCATGTTTGGTAAGGTGGAGGGTCAGAGAAAAAGAGGGAGACCCCCAACGAGATGGTTTGGCCAAGTGGCAGTATCGATGGACTTAAGCATGGCAACGGTAGTGAGGTTGGCTCAGGATCGGGCAGTGTTTCATTCTGCTGTGCATAGGGTCGCTATGAGACAGTACCGACTTGATGGCACCTAACAACAACAACAACAACAACAACTTTGTAATTGAAAAGCTCTGGTGGTGTAGTGGGTTACAGGTGTTGGGCTACTAAGGGAAGCAATTCAAATCCACTAGCCTCTCATCAGGATAAAGATGAGGTTTTCTGTTCCCCTAAAAGATTTACAGTTTCAGAAACCCCAGATAGCACACAATCGCCACTTCCTAATTAAGATATATACTTTTAATTTAAATTCACCTTAAAATAAAACATAAGGGAATCAGTTATATTTATCGCCAATTGAAAATCTGAAAGTAACATGAAAAGATTGCTCAAAGTAACATGAGATTTGTTTGGCCTGTCTTTCAAACATCACCTTATATTAGCTTATCCTGAAAAGTCCAGCACAAATGACTTTTTCCTTTTCCAAATGCCCATAGTAGAAATTTATCACACTTCTTTTCAATTACACTAACTTTTTAATAGCACTTCCAAGCCTTAGAGTAATTCTTCAAACTATTGCACGCTTTTTAAATTATGTATTTAATTTCATACCCATAAGAATCTTAAAAGTTTATTAATCCTCACATCTAGCTCATATTTTTTAAATTTGTATATATTGATAGATGTCCTTTACAATTACTCAATTTACTTTGGCAGCACGGCCAGGAATTCCAGAGCCCCAAAGGGATTGTTGGCTCTCACATCTGCCCAGCAATGGAACTATTAAAACGAGCAGCTTCTATCAAGCATGTCAAGTCTCCTTTCCTCCTTTTTCAAACATTTATTTAGCACTTAATGGAGCTAGGCACAGAGGTAGAGTGTGTTCATAAAAGAATGGATGCAGCATTCTTGCCCGGGAGGTGCAGAGTGTGCACTTCATTGAGCTGTGGGCAGGGTGAGTTTTGCTTCCCTGGACAGTTTCTGCTTCTCTAACCAGCTCATGGATTTAAGTAAAGGACGTCCTACAAAAAGACTGTGAGTGGAAGAATCTAAAATGCATCTAGTTGTGCGCAAGCACTCATCATCGATTATCTACAGCCATTCCAGGATCTCTGTGGCCAGGAATCCCAGAAAGTACATTTTTTGAGTTTGGCAAACTTTTCACCTTGAACTTTCAAGCAAATATAATATAAGTGAAAATAAGCAAATGGTACACAACCATTATCTAAGGTTCCTAGGGTTATTCAACACAGGGTTGCTCGTGGTTTTACACTCATTTTTCATTAAACTAGTTCTACCTTCAGTACTTGGCGCTGTGGGTTAATGCGTCAGACTGCAAAGCTGTTGGAACTGTAAGGTCGGTAGTTGAAGCACACTAGCTGTTCCTTGGAAACCCTATACAAGGTCGCTATGGGTCGGAATGGACTCGCTGGCACTTAACAACAACAACCTTCAGTAAGGAGCTCTTGTAGCATAGTGTTTACGAATCGGGCTGCTAACCTCAGGGTCAACAGTTCAAAACTACCAGATGTTTCCGGGGAGAAAGATGAGGCTTTCTGCTCCCGTAAAGATTTACAGCCTCAGAAACCCTGTACAGGGTCGCTATGACTCGTAACCCACTCCAGAGCACATAACAACAACAACCTTCAGTAAGGAGTCCTGGTGTGGCATTGTGGGTTAATGCTCTAGACTGCAAGGTCGCTTTGAGCCGCAAGGTCTGCAGTTTAAGTTTACCAGCCGTTCCCTGGAAACCTTATTCAGGGTCACTGTGAGTCGTTACCAACTCGCGGGCACTTAACAACAACCTTCATTAAAGGAGCAGGCCTCAAACGTTAACAATGTGAAGATTGCTTAGGACTCGACAGTTTATCTTTCTGTTGTGCACAGGGTCGCTAGGAGTTGATTCAACCGTCCCTAAGGACAACACATTATGAGAAGGCAATAATTTAGCTCGTCCTGGTGCGGCGCTATGGGTTAATGCGCGAGACTGCACAATCGGTGAACTGCAAGGTTGGTGTTCAAGCTCACTAGTAGCTCCTTGGAAACCCTCTATAGGGTCTCTATGGGTTGGACCAGACTTAACAGCACTTAAGCAGTACCAGCCGCTCCGCGGGAGAAAGATGAGGCTTTCTACTCCCGTAAAGATTTTCACCCTTGGAAACCCTGTACAGGGTCGCTATGGGTCGGACCCGACTCGATGGCACTTAACAACAACAACAACAACAAAGCAGTACAACAGGGCGTCTCAACAAGCGCCCAAGCACAGTGAAACAGACAGCTCCGAAGTCCCAGGAGCCCACATCTCGCGAGAGTTGAGGAAACCCTGACAGAGCCTAAATACAGTGGGCGTCACCACCAGGTGGGCGTGGCGCTGGGGATCTGGAGTTCGGCGAGCCTTGGAGTCGGACCATATCCGGTTACTGTCCTGTGACCTTACACCCGCGCCTGTCCTTGCGTCTCTTTGCGGACTGCCCAGAGTTGCCCTTCCCGGCGTGCAGCCATGGCGCGGAAGTCGAACCTGCCTCTGCTATTTGTGCTTCTGCTCGCCCCGGCTCACGTAGGCAGCTCCAGTCCTCTGCCACTGGTCCTCAACACTTGGCCTTTTCAGAATGCAACTGATGCAGGTGCTGGCGGTGGCCGGGTGGGATGGCTGCACAGCATGGCTCACCTAGGGGAGGAGGTTGGCCGGCTGGCTCCTCTGATTGTGGGGGCCTGGAAAGCGAGTAAGCACCGGATCTGCAGCAATCTCACCTTCTAGCCCCTCCTGCATCTCTCTCATTTGACCCCTTACAACATTCTCATGGCCTCTGCTGCATTTTAGACCTAAATCTTTTAGGATCCGGCTGCTCTTTGGAAACCTTATACAGGGGCGCTATGGGTCGGAATCTACGCGACCAGCACTTAACAACAACAACCCCCTATTGGACTCCTGGTGTGGCACTATAGGCATTGGACTTAAAACCACAAGATTGGCAGTTCAAACCCACCCGCTATTCCTTGGAAACCCTATGCAGGGTCTCTATGAGTTGGAATCGACTCCATGGAACTTAAACAGTATTCAAGCCCCCGTACTAATTTGTACCCTTTTGCAGACCCTAAACAGCTCCCACCTTTCGGCTTACAGTTGTAATGGTCCATGCACTTTCTTTTGCCTGTTGTAGTTGTTCATTGCCGTGGAGTCTGTTTCGACCCATAGCGACCCTGTATACGGTTTCCCAGGAGGGGCTGGTGAGCTTGAACCGCTGACCTTGCGGTTCAAACCGACCTTGTGGTTCAGTGCATTAACCCACAGCACCACACCAGGACTCCTTTTGCCTGGCATCCAGTAGCGTAATGGTTAAGAGTCAGGCTGCCAACCTCAAGGTCAGCAGTTAGAAACTACCAGCGGTTCCGCGGGAGAAAGATGAGGCTTTCTGCTCCCGTAAAGATTTACAGCCTCGGAAATCCTGTGCAGGGTCGCTGTGAGTCGGAACCAACTCCACAGTACTTAACAACAACAACTCCTATTTAACCTCTCATTTCTCTCAAGTACCTGGTAGTCTACTAAACTACTAGTAACTTCCCAAAGCATGCTCTTGTTCCCATCAATTTTTTTGCCACATGTTGACCTGTTTGCTATGTGCAATGTTCTTCCAAGCCTTAACCTGCCCAACTCCATGTTGACTTTAAAACATGCAGCTAAGAAAGAAGTTCTGACCTTAGCTCTACATAGTCACCTGTTGAGCTTCTCAAAAATATCTATGCCTGGCTGCCCTCTCCTGGGATTTTTATTTAACTGTTAGAGAGCCAGTGTCTATTATTTAAAGATTTCCAAGTGATTCTGATTTGCAGCTAAGTTAAAGGTATCACTTCTTCCGGAAAGTCTTCCCTGACTATATTGGCATTTTCATATTATGTTGTACCTGTTTCTTGGCTTTGAGACAAAGAACTACAGGAGTAATTTCAGATCCCGTCAATGACATCTGTTTTTATGAATAAAAAAATTGCCCGCGGGAGAACATTCCTCCCACCTCCCCTTTTTTTCAATGTGCTTGGGCTCTTCAGAATCTGCAAAGTAGAATTTAAAAAAATAGAAGTGTTATGGAGTCAAAATGACTACTTGAATTATGGCTTTGACCCATATGCCTTTGGCTGTTGGATAAGTTTCCTAACTCTAGTCTCTTATTTTAGTCTTTAAAAATGAGATCAGTCTCAAGAGCTATTGTGAAGATTAAACAGTTAACTAATATGAAGCCTGTGTTGTAAATCTTTGATGTTATATATTGTTATTGAATGGATTCCTGGTGTGGTGCTGTAGGATTAGCCCTGGACTTGGGACCACAAGGTTTGCAATTCAAAGTCACTAGCTGCCCCTTGGAAATGGCACTTAACAGCATTGCTGTTGAGAGTTGCTGTGAATAGGCATTCCCTTAATAACGTATTAGTAGTGGCAGTGTAGGATAAGCACTAGACAACAGATTGGTTTGAACCACAAGGTCGGCAGTTCAAACTCACCAGGTACTCTATGGAAACCCTGTATAAGGTCATTGTGAGTTGGAACCTACTCCCTGGCACTTAACAACAGCACTATAATGATGCAGAAGAAACAAAAACAATAATTCAATTTATTTTCAATTTGACTGCATTTTAGTCTTTTCTGTTGTATCTTTCAAAATTAAAGGAGGGGATACTTATTTCTTTCTTTTCTTACATTCCCAAAAGAAAGAGGTATTAGTATGTGAAAAAGCCCTCACTTGGTAGCAGTAATGGATCCCTCGTAGCCCAGTGGCCCTCTGCTGTTAACTGAAGGGTCAGTGGTTCAAACCTTATGTTTCTTCTATAGAAAGATGTGGAAGTCTGCTTTCAAAGATTAACTGCCTTGGAAACCCTATGGGCAGTTGTGTTCTAGCTTACATAGTTGCTGTGAGTCAAAATGAGCTCTGTGGCAGTGGACTTTTTTGTGTATGTTTGTTTAGTAGTATCAATAGTCTTAATTCTTTGTAGTAAATAATTGAATTTATATATCTCTTTGCTTGGAATTCATCTTACTTGGATCCACAATCAGCACCGATGGAAGCAGCAATCAAGAAATCAAACAATGTATAGCATTAGGCAAATCTGCTGCAAAATAAAACCTCTTAAAAGTGTTTAATAGCAAACATGTCAGTTTAAGGACTAAGATGCACCTGACCCAAGCTGTGGTATTTTCAATCATCTCATGCATGTGAAAGTTGAACAAGGAAGTTAGACTAAGGAAGACCTGAGAAGAATCAACACATTTGAATTATGGTGTTGCAGAAGAATATTGAAAGTATCATGGACAGCCAGAAGAACCAACAAATCTGTGTTGGAAGAGTATTCCTTAGAAGCCAGGATGATGAGACTTCACCCCTCATACTTGGGACATGTTATCAGGAGGGACCAGTCCCTGGGGAAGGATATCATGCTTGGTAAAGTAGAGGATCAGTGAAAAAGAGGAAGACTCCTCAAGGAGATGGATTGACACAGTAGCAGTAGCAATGGGTTCAAATGTAGCAGCAATTGTGAGAATGGCTCAGAGTCACGCAGTGTTCCATTCTGTTTTGCTTGAGGTTGCTAGGAGTCAGAACCGACTGGGTGGCACTTAGCAACAACAACATATCTCTCTGACTCCATTATAGCATTTAATAAATTACTTTGTTAAAAACATAGCTTAAATTTAGAACATGCTTGAAAAACAAAAGAGAATTATCAAAATATGTATGCATTTGGCATTGAAAAAAATATATATGTAAGTAAACAAGCACTCTTGTGATTGATTACCAGCCTGGAGGACATTAGCATCTGGAGGTTCTAGCCTGGATGCAGTTGAGAGTGGCTGTGCTGTATGTGAGAAGGAGCAGTGTGATGGCACTGTAGGCTTTGGAGGAAGTCCTGATGAATTTGGAGAAACCACATTGGATGCTATGATCATGGATGGGTAAGAATGCTTTTTAGGACCTATTTATCTCTGTACGTTTGTTTCACGTGGAGTTACAGTCACAGTTGCTTTCTTCAGTCAAGAGCTAAATGTAGGTAGAATATATGACTTTTGTCATAGGACAAAACCCCTAGCTTTCTGTACTCAGCCTTTCCAAACACAACTTTTCTTCTTTCAATGAATAATAATATTTGAAAAGAAAGACGAACTGAAAGCTAAAAAATATGCCATTATCTTTAAATGCTGTGTGGTGCCTGACCTGAAGCCTCTAGGCCTCTTTCAATAAAGTAGAAAGGACTGAGAATTTTGGTGCTGATGGGATATATGGTAAAGTGATTTTCTATTTGTTCCTTAATTTTTTCTGGCTGTGGGAATTTGTATAAACTTCACAGATGTTCTGCCTCTTCTGTGCCAAGATGGTGGAATTTATTCTATGAAATACTTGCTTGGAGAAAAGCAGTATACATTGTTTTAATTCTTTGAACCTGTGAAATTACCTTTTTATTTACTACTGCATTTTTTTTTCTCTTGCAGCACTACTATGGATGTAGGAGCAGTAGGAGCTCTTAGACGAATTAAAAACGCTATTGGTGTGGCTCGAAAAGTACTGGAATACACAACACACACACTTTTAGTAGGAGAGTCAGGTATATTCTAACTATAATGAAAATTTTTCTGGCTTTTTTCAATTATCTTTACTATGAGAAATAGGTCTTCTTTTATTTACTATTTTATGTGGATTCCTAACTTTGAATTCCAGCTATTATGTTTAAAATCTATTTAACTTTGGATGTTGTTGTTGTTAAGTGCCGTTGAGTCGGTTCCGACCCATAGCGACCCTGTACAGGGTTTCCGAGGGTGTAAATCTTTACGGGAGTAGAAAGCCTCATCATTCTCCCGCGGAGCGGCTGGTAGTTTCGAACTGCTGACCTTAAGGTTCGCAACCCGATTCGTAACCACTACGCTACCAGAGCTCCTTAACTTTGGATAACTTACTTAATTTCTAAATCTCACCTTTTTGGCTATTACAATGGGATGTTTTTAAATAGTTCATTATTCATAGATGAGTAATTCCTAGACCAAAACAGGATTCAGCATTTACTGTCTTCCTATAAAGGTTGGTTTGAACTGTAAGGTCGGCAGTTGAAACTTTCCAGCCACTCCTTGTAAACCTGTACAGTGTCGCTGTGAGTCAGAACTGAATCAACAGCACTAAACAACAACAACGTTACACCTTGTAGGTGTAAGACCCAAGGAGCATGTTAATCTAAAAAGCTGAGAATTGAAGGAGATTTGCCATGAAAGTGTCATTTCATTATTTGAATTCCTTATAAATTATATACCAAAAATCTTGCAGTGATCTATAACCAAAATTATTTTAAATGGTTTGTTAGCTGACAACTCCAGTAGACTTCTTTTAATTTGTTTCAAGTACAGAATTATCTGAGAAGCAACAGAATTTTTCACCCATTCATTGAAGTCCAGTTGTTCTTTTGTTTGGTGTCTCAATGAGTTTACATCTTGAGGCCTTACACCCTTATTAAAGCAGTAAAATTTTGTGCTGGTAAGAGGATTGTCATTCCTTTTGTGAAGTGAAAGAGCAGAAAAGGAAAACTGTCAGACCAGTTTTAGGAAAGAGTATATATGAAAATTGACTTGCTTCTATCTTTTATTCTCAGCATTTTGTTGTTTTTGTTGTTAAGTGCCATCGGAGTTGTTTCAGACCCATAGTGACCCTGTATAGGGTTTCTGAGGCATGGTAAGGTCAAACTGACCTTACTATCAGTACATTATCCTACAGCACCTCACCATGACTCCTTTGAATGTCTTTGTGTACCCCATGGGTAATTGCATCTCTGTTAAGTAACAGTTGGATCCCTAATGGCACAAGGCTTAAAGTACTTGGCAGCAAACCAGTTTAACCCACCAGTTGTTCTGTGGGAGAAAGACAAGGCAAGATTTACAGTTTTTGAAATGTTCTGGGGTAGTTTTACTCTCTAGGATGGGTGTCTATGGGTCAGAATCAACAGCAGTGGTTTTAGCTTAAGTGACAGTACCTCCCATGTAAATGCTTTATTTTAAAGGAATACTTGATTGATTATTATTATTATTTTTTTAAACAATCATCCAGCCACTAAATTTGCGGAAAGCATGGGATTTATCAATGAAGATTTATCTACCAGTACTTCTCAAGCTCTTCATGCAGCTTGGCTTGCTCGAAATTGCCAGCCAAATTATTGGAGGGTATGTGTGTTAGACATTTAACTTTCTAAAGTAAGTCTTTAAAGTATATTAATGATGTCTCCTGTGCTTGCTTTGTCTACATACTGTATGGAGTGCTGGTTAGCATCCTGGCTGCTCATTAGAATCAGTGGTTTGAATTAGCTCTCTGAGCACAGGTTTATTTGAAAACTCCTTAACTAAATTTAATATGCATACAAGATGCATAACTACTGATCTCTGGCAAATTTTTCTGTGATGTTCTACTATGGGATGAGGGCAGTGCCTACAATTAGAACTACTTTGCTTGTAATCCTTATAACCAAAAGATTCCAACTCTAAGAACATCAAACTTTGAAAACAATTAGTTTGTAATATTTCTTATCTGTGTAACATATACCCAAAATCGTGCCCTTATTTGACTTGACAATTTATAGTAGCATAACGTCTGGTATACTACTTGTGGGATAATTTGCCTTTGAACCAGTGGAACTTTTAGCCTAAATCAGTTTCCCTTTACCATTCAGAGTCCTTCCTTAAGGGATATTCATCTCACATCTGTTACTTTGCTAAATCCTAGTTACCTGGGCTTAGTATTAAAAGCAGATAACTCATAATACTAGGTTAGAAGAGACAGCTGGGGCTCTAATCTTTAAGGCATGTATGTGTCTAGGTCTCTTACTTTAAAACCAACCTAATATATACAACTAAATTTATGGGCTTGGATTACTTTCTTGACCTTTTTTAAACTGTATAAACACATTTTAAGTATCACAATATGTTCACTAGCCTAACTTTGGAGAAGAAAAAATTGTTTTAAAACAGGATTTGGTTTAAATTTAAGACCTCTAATTTGGCCACTGAACAAATTCAGAAATTTGAAGGTCAAATTGTGTATGAGGATTAATAGCTAATTAAAAGTCTTCATTTATATCTGTCAGTATACTGAGAATTTTAGATAGATAAAAGATCAGATCTAATCTATATGACATAGATGTCTAACCCATATTATGTAATTCTGAGACCAGTATAAAATTACATCCATCTCTTCACCTAAAAAAACCTAAGTCATGTTTTAATTCTTATCTTTCAGTTACCAAATGCTCTTTTTGGTTAACTGCTAGTGTTTGATGATTGTATATAACTACTTGCTAACTTTTTTTTTAACTTTTATTTTGAATTATGTGATAGTTTACATGGGAGAACATTAGCTTTACATTCATCATATTGTATATCATTTCATTGCCATGGTTACAGTCCCCTCCATGCATCATCAACCAACCAAAGGATATACCCTACAAGCATGCTCCCCAGTCATCAGCACACAGCTTCTCTCCCACTCTGGGTGTAAAGTCCCCAGTTGCTCCATCTCTCCACATCATCATCTCTGCCTCCATCTCTGGCATTACTGTTTCTCTGGGTAGCGTCCCGCTCTCCGCTCTTCTCCCTTGATGGTCCCAGGGACCCCCGCAGACCAACAAAGTCAACTACTTCCCTACTTTTGCTACAGAATGTCTACCTTTACATTTCCAACCCTCAAAGTCAGTCCTGATAATAATTATTCACTATTGTACCACATGAGTGCTATCCCCACCTCCTCTGATCAGCCCCGCCCAGACAGATTGGATACTACTCAGTGGAGATTCTACCTTCCTCACGCCTTCTGGATCTAGGCTCCCTCTTGAAAGCTTGTAAGCCAGTCACTTCTTGCCTTTATAGACCCTCCATTTTGGGTAGCCAATGTCCAAGTTACTATCCCTGTCTATCCTGTGTATTGAGGGGTTGGGAATGATCCTCGCTGTAAAGATTTGTTCCCTCTTTTGAGCTACTGCATCTATAGGTGTAGGTCAATTTCATCAAATTGTATCAGATTACTATTTTTTTTACTCCTCTCTTCTTTTAGTTGAGGCCATTGAAGCCAGGTCAAGTGGGTATTATCTGTGAATGTGGGTGTTCTTGTGCATATGCCCTTTTGTCTTATCAGTTGGATGCTTCACTCTCCACTCTAGTCCTCTGTGGCTATGTCATTGACTATGGGCCCAGGAGTCCTCAGGTCTTGCCAAACTGCTGGCCCACCAGGTCTCCCCCTGGGTTCACAGGAGTGAACATTGTTGGACTTAGCTCTCAGTTTTGCCCTCACTTCCCCTATCAGTGGCCAGCTTGGTCACCAGTCAGAGCACGTATCTGCTTGTGTATTCCCACTGAGTCTTAGCCTTGGAAGGGAGTTTCTCCTGAGGGGACCCTACCGATTGCCTTGATGTCTCCTGGGCGGGCAACTTGCTTGTTCATATAGTAGTCACTCAGACTGCCATTATTATTGTTTTGTATTTTTTTATGTCAGCCTTTCTTTCAAGAAGTATCTTCTGTTCTTCTAGCCACTCCATGCTGGTCTGCTTGTCCTTTCAAGTGGAAATTTCCCACCTCAGAAGATTCTGGATGGGGTTCAGGATTCCACCTATGGTCTTATGCAATGTAGAGGCTCCGCAGGAAGCCTCCTTCATTGGGCACATTGTAGCTCACTTTTAGGTTTTCCAATTAGTTATAGGCAGAAGGCAGACTTACAAGGTTTCTATGGTGATATTTCTGGCTATTCTTTTCTCTCCCCCTCAACTGTCTATTTTATAATGGTATCCAGGGGGAACCAAGATTCAAAAGACAGCCAAGCATCTTAACATTATTTCTTCCCTTTTGCCCATTCCAACCATGTCTCAATTCCTGTATTCCAGAGCCCTGTTGTTCCAAGGTTGTGCATATATCATTATTTACCACTTAGCCCATATAGACCTGCTTAACTATTCTCCCATGTGCCTTGTTCTTCCATTCCCTTCCCCTTCTCGTGTATTGTCCCCCTCCCCACCACCCAAACTATCCTGTGTCTATTCCCTACCCTGTGCTTCACCTTCCCCCGAACCCTTCCTTCACCCCACTCCCCACATCCCAGTAACCAGCAAAGATTCTCCCCTGACCCCTTTAGTATGGGTTATTTTTCTTAGTCTTTTACAGTAGTGGTCCTATTCAGTATTTCTCCTTTGTGACTGACTAATTTCACTCAATATAATGTCCTCAAGGTTCATCCATATTATGTAGTGGCTTACAGCTTCCTTGTTATTCTTGAGGGTAGCATAGTATTCCATTGTGTGTATGTACCACAGTTTGTTTTTCCATTTTTCAGTTGATGGTCCCTGAAGCTATCTCCATCTTTTTGCTATTGTAAATAGTGCTGCTTTGAACATTGGTGTGCATATATCTACTCGTGTTATGGCTCGTATTTCTTGTGGGTAAATACTAAGTAGAAGAATTGCTGGATCATAAGGTATTTCTATTTCCAACCTTCTGAGGATGCGCCATATTGCTTCCCAGAGAGGTTGGACTATTTTGTAATCCCGCCAGCAATGCAGGAGCATCCCAGTCTCACCACATCCCCACCAGCATTTATTGTCCTCTACTTTTTGATCTTTGCTGTTACTGCTGGTGTGAGATGATATCTCATTGTTGTTTTGATTTGCATCTCTCTAATGGCTAGTGATGGCTAGTGATCGGGAACATTTCTTCATATGTTTATTGGCTGCCCTATTTGCTAATTTTTTAAATAGTGTCTTTTTAAAAAAATAAAACTTGCATCTTATTTACAGGACGTTATACCAGATTCTTCAAAATATTGTGGGCCCTACAAACCCAAGCCACACAGCATCTTAAAACAAGATGATCCTACCTATCAAGAAAAAGGAAATAATTACGGTCATGATACTATTGGTAACTTGACTTCTACACAATATTCATTGTTAAAATTTAGCCATTTTAAACCAAACCAAACTAAACTCACTGTCATCAAGTCAGTTCTGACACATGATAATTTTATATTGCTTGCTATATCCAACTGGTCTTAAAGCATTTTTCTTTAGAATTCATAGTTGGAAGGGTATTGAAAATAACTGAGCAGTGTGAAGAGGTAATATTATGGGATTCATGCCAAATGATGTTTTCTATTATGAAACCTGCTTATTTAAAAACACCAGTTATACAATTGGATTTAATTTTTAGTATTTTCAAGTTTCCTATTCGCTTTCACCTAAAATTAATGAAAGAATATATTTATATCACCAGTTATTGATCATTTGATTATGTCAAAGGTAAACTTCAGAGTTAGTACTGACAGTAATTTTTTGTTTCTATTTTTGTTTCTTTTTCACTTCTAGGCATGGTTGTAATCCATAAAACAGGACATACTGCTGCTGGCACATCTACAAATGGTATAAAATTCAAAATACCTGGGTTAGTGTTTATAGTACAATAAATCTCACAAATATGTATTGAGTGTAAAACTGTATGTGCTAGGTACTATGGGGAAGCGCAAACTGCAATGTATTGCCTTCATTTCTCATCTGACATAATGTGGAAAAAAATATATTTGTATCTACTAAGTGCCAAATGATACTAAAGGAAGATCAATAGGTAATGATACTAAAGGAAAAAGTCCAAGTTGCATTGAATGCATTGGTAAAAAATCAGGCTCCGGGAATTGATGGAATACAAATTGAAATCTTTCAACAAACTGACGCAGCACAGGAGACACTCACTCATCTGTGCAGAGAAATTTGGACGACAACTAGCTGACCAACTGACTAGAAGAGAGCCATATTTGTGCCCATTCCAAAGAGAGGTAGTCCAACAATGTAGAAATTATCAGATAATATCAGTGATAGCACATGCAAGTAAAATTTTGTGAAAGATAATTCAGAAACATTTGCAACCGTACATTGACAGGGAACTTCCAGAAGTTCAAACTGGATTCAGACGAGGACCTGGAACGATGAATTTCATTGCTGACTAAAAGTAGAGAATACCAGAAAGATGTTTGCCTGTGCTTTATTAACTATGCAAAGGCTTTCCATTTTGTGGATCATAACAAGTTATGGACAACATTGAGGAGAATGAATGTTCCAGAACACTTAATTGTGCTCATGAGGAACTTGTGCATAGACTAAGAGGCAGTTGTTTGAATAGAACAAGGGAACATTAAATGGTTTAAAGTTAGGAAAGGTGTATGCTAGGATTGTATTCTTTCACCATACCTATTAGGCTGAGCACATAATCTGAGAAGCTGGGTAATATGAAGAAAAATGTGGCATCAGGATTAGTGGAAGACTTATTAACAACCTGCAATATGCAGAAGATACAATCCTGATTGCTGAGAGTGAAGAGGACTTAAAATACTTAACTGATGAAGAGCAAAAACTGCAGCCTTCAGTTATGGGTTGCACTTCAATGTAAAGAAAACAAAAATCCTCACCACTGGACCAATTAATATCCATATCAGTGGAGAAAAGATTGAAGTTGTCAAAGACTTAATTTTGCTGGGATTAGCCATCAACACTCATGGAAGCATCAATCAAGAAATTAAATGACATATTACATTAGGCACATCTGCTACATAAAGCCTCTTTAAAGTGTTGAAGAGCAAATATGTCAGTTTGAGGACTAAGGTGCACGTAACCCAAGCCATGGTATTTCCAATAGCCTCATATGCATGGGAAAGTTGGACAGTGAATAAGGAAGACCATAGAATAATTAATGCATTTCAGTTTTGGTGGTGGAGGAGAATATTGAAAGTACCATGGACTGTCAAAAGAACAAATTGATCTGTGCTGGAAGAAGTACTGCCAGAGTGCTCCTTAGAAGTCAGGATAGCCAGGCATCGTCTCTCATACATCAGGCATATTGTCAGGAGGGACCGGGTCATTGGAGGATATCATGTGTGTTGAAGTGGAGGGTAGGAGAAAAAGAGGTAGACCCCCAATGAGATTGATTGGAACATTGGCATCAGCAATGAGCTGAAACATAGCGATGATTGTGGAGTTGGCACGAGACAGGGAAGTGTTTCGTTCAGTTGTGCATGGGGTCGCTATGAGTTGAAACCAACTTGATGGCATCTAACAACAACAACTGCCAAAGGGAGTCTCCTGGTGGTACGAACAGTTAACATGCTCAGCTGTTAACTTAAATTTTGTAAGTTTGAGTACAACCAGAGGCACCTTGGAATAAAGACATAATAATCTACTTCTGAAAAATTTTCTACTGAAAACCCTATAAAGCACAGTTCCACACTATGAGTCAGAATCATCTTGACAGCAACTGGTTAAGTGTCAAAGGAAAGGGACTCATAGCCAGTGCTTTAGAGTTCAGGGAAGGCCATTGGGATCTGTTTACACTGAGGTTGTTTTAGAAGCCAGTAGAGAGATGCTGAGAACTGAACCCTGAGCTCACTACAGTTAACAGACAAAGGAACTAGATTTATGGCTCCAATTGGTAAAAAAAAGAAACGTTGGGTGGGAGGTGGTGGAAGATAAAACTGCAAGGGGAGATTAGATCCAGGTTTCAAGTAATTTTAAGTCAGTTTAAAGAGTTTTGATCTTATGTGGAAGTAGTAGAAAAGTGTTGAAGGTTTAGTACAAGGGAAGATCTTGATAAAAGTTTGGCACATTAGACAGAAAATAGGAATAGATTGTAGGTGAAGGAAACCAATTTTGAAACTGTTGAGATAATCTAGCAATTAGATGATAAAAGATGGTAATAATAGGAGAGTCATTGTAAATCTGTACCATCTTGGTAACTGACTGGTATCAAATGCTTAGAGAATTAATGTGGGTTTGTGAAAACCTCAGGTAAAAACTAATGAAAATCTTTTCTTGTTCTAAGGAAGGAATTATTTCAAAATAATCATCTAGAAGTAGAAAGTGGTGATAATTGTACAACATAGTGAATGGACAACATGTAACTGCAATGTGTACTTTAAAATGGTTAAAATATTATATTTTATTTGTATTTTGTCACAATTGAAAAAAAAAAAAAATCAGGACTAAGTGGAAATAGCAGTATTGTTGAAAATAGTGTATAAAATCATTTACTTTTTACACTTTCTGCCCTAAAATTGTTGCGATGCTCTTGCACAGCCGTATAGGAGATTCGCCAATACCTGGATCAGGAGCTTATGCTGATGATACCGCAGGAGCAGCTGCAGCCACGGGAGATGGTGATATATTGATGCGCTTCCTACCAAGGTGTGGGGTCTTGTGTTTGTGAATTTTGGAGACCTTAGAAAAGATATTTTCACTATCAGGGAAAATAGTAATTTTTAATTTTGGGGTGCCATGTAATTCACATTTGTTTCCTTAAAGATTGTTTACCTATCATTTTGGAGTCCTGGTGTAGCACTGTAGGGTAAGCACTGGACTACTAAATGCAAGGTTGGCTGTTCAAATCCACCAGCTAGCTACTCCTCGGATCCTATACAGAATTGTCATGTGTTGGAACTAACTTGAAGACACTTAACAGCAATCATTTAAATTAAATGATCATAGGCTTTGAATTAGATGAGAATATTTAAGATCTACCTAAATAATTTACATAAGGTCACTAAGCAGTGTAACTGTAATAATTGATGGTAATAGTAGGAGATGGATAAGTTGTGAGCAGTAAATTACTAACATGTAATTTTTACAACTGGATGTTTTATATGTGATTGCATTCCCCTTTGATAGTTATTGTTGTTAAGTGCTGTGAAGTCTGTTCCGACTCATAGCTACCCTGTATAGATAGGGTTTCTGAGGAGCTGCTGGTGATAGTCCCTATATTTGCTGGCTTCTGGATGTAATAAATCAAGTGACAGGAATCAGTAAAATAATGGTCAGCCGAAACAGAAAATAATGATCCTTCTTATCTGACATTAATGGGTGAATGGATTTGTTGAAAAGATAAGCATTATATCAAACCTTACTTACTTTGATGATGCTATAGTAAAAGTTACTGATTCTGTTCATTAATATACTCTCAAATGTGACAGTTTAAGTATTTTTTAATTTCTAGCTTGAGGTAACCCAATTTGGAGTAAATATTTATTCTGTGAAATTAAACTTTCACCTCTGTTTAAATTAGCTACCAAGCGGTTGAATATATGAGAAGTGGAGAAGATCCAACCATAGCTTGCCAAAAAGTTATTTTAAGAATTCAGAAGCATTTTCCAAATTTCTTTGGGGCTGTTATATGTGCCAATGTGACTGGAAGTTATGGTAAGTTATATATGAAATTTGCATTTGTGTAGACTTGCAAATGTTAATAATAATTTTTAAAATAGTATAGTGTATTTCAGTACTCTTCTTCAATCAATTGTGAATTCCTTGAAATCCATGAAGTGTTATGGTGGTAGTAGTGTGACTCCAAGTCGATTCTCATTCATAGAATGAACCCTGTGTAGGATTTCTGAGGCCAAATCTTTATGGGAGCAGAAACCCTCATTTTTCTCCCTCGGAGCAGCTGGTGGATTTGAACACCTGGCTTTGCAGTTAGTGGTCCAGCTCCTAATCCACTATGCTACTATGTCTCCTAACAAAGTGCTATAAATATATGTAAAATTCTCCTTTGGTTGTCTGCTGGTAGCTATGATCTGTTCTTTGGCTACTTAAGTTTCAATTTTAGCACATATTCAGATAGATTAATCTATTTAAATATAATAAAAAGTTAGACTAGTTTATTTAAATATTAAAAAATATATGGACTAGTCCATCTCAATATGTACTAAAATTGAAGCTAAACTTTATTTAGGAAAAATGTGAAAGAGAAACTCAAGTAGCAAAAAAACAGATCATAACTACCAGTTGTCAACCAAAGGAGAGTTTTAGGTATATTTCTAACACTTTGTAAGGAGACCTAGTAGGGGAGTGGATTATGAGCTGGGCTGCTAACTGCAAGGTCAGCAGTTTGAATCTACCAGCTGCTTAGAGGGAGAAAAATGAGGCTTTCTGCTTCCATAAAGATTTACAGCTATGTAAACCCTATACAGAGTCCTGGTATGGCACTGCAGGATAATGCGCTGGACGGCAAGGTCAGTTTGAACCAAAAGGTGAGCAATTCAAATCCACCAGCTATTTTGGAAACACTCTACAAGGTTGCTAAGAGCCAAACAACTTGATGGTACTTAACAACAACAACAATTAACTAGAAGAAGACAGTAATAATTCTTTCTCATTCATGATTTAAATATCTCAGCCATTTTGATCTACTTGGGGCCTTAAGACAAAAAAAAATGTGTTATGTAGAAGTTATCAGAATTATTTTTGCATTGTGTTTTTGGCATGTCCTTTGTTTCATTTACTTTCAATGTGAGCCTATCAGAGTTTCAAAGCATTTCAAGATCAACCACTGTTGGTTCTCATTAGTGAATTCACTGATGCTGAAGATATACAGCTTACTGATCAATATGACTTATTAGTTCAGACTGCTTATTATTGTTCTTTGATCTTTTACTTCCCACAGTTCTGTATTTGAAAGACTTGTTTTGAGGAATTCCTTATTCTTTTCTAAGAACTATGATACAAAAGTCAATATAAGTTTTGAGTGGTGGGGGAGAATAGGTTTATGTATAAAATAAATCATTTTCATTGATTTTTTTCTTAAGAAATCAACCATAGAAGGTACAAAGTTAGATTTTACAGGGTGTAAAAATTACAATCACATAATTGTAGATGACATGTTTCTTATTTTAAAAAATGATAGTGGAAAAATATCCCTCCAGATCTTTCTTTAGAGGAAGAAATCCACTGTTGGCATAGGTGGAGCAGTGGAAACCGCTGCATGAGATGCCTTTGTTAGACAGAGCATCTTGAAAAATAAATAATTGTCCTCTCATTCTATTAGAAAGGGAAAGCATGAGGAGCATGGGGGCAGAACGGGTGCAGATGAATGATGGGAATGCTATAGTAGATGTTGTTGTTGTTGTTGTCAGGTGCCATCGAGTCGGAACCGACTCATAGCGACCCCATGCACAGCAGAACGAAACAATGTCCGATCCTGGGTCAACCTCACTACCGCTGCCACTCTAGAGTGGATAGGGGAATACAATTTTTAGCATGGGTGCCAAAAGTATTTTTGTTAAGAAAGCAATAAAATGATAGTAACAATCAAAGCTTATGTATAGAGTAAAAATATCAGTGAATTTTCTGAGGTTACCAGAGGTGAGTGAGTACTTACGACCTCTTTCTTTCCTTGCATGGATGATTGTTGAGTAGTCACCACTAAGGAGGGTCACACCAGTGTTCTTCTATGTGGCCTCTTGTTAGGTTCTTTCAGGTCTGCTCCAACTCATATCCTCCTGTCCTTGCACATAGGATTTCAAAGGCTCTAAATCTTTGTGGGAGCAGAAAGCCGTATCTTTCTCCTTCAGAGCAGCTGGTGGACTTGAACCTCTGACTTTGTGGTTTATAATCCAGTGTTTATCGTATGGAGCCACTGGCTCCCCTCTGTGTAACTTAGATGGACATAAGGTGTCAACATCCAACCAATTAAGTAATATTGATACATCCTGTATTTAACCAAAACAAACCCTGGTGTTTTAGTGGTTAAGTGCTTGACTGCTAACAGAATGGTCAGTAGTTCAAACCCAAAAGCCACCGCAAGAGAAAGAAGTGGCAGTTTATAGCCTTGGAAATTTATAGCCTTGGAAACCATATGAGGCAGTTCTACTCTTGGTGAGGTAGAATGGAATCAATTAGATGGCCACAGATATGTATGTGTGTGTGTGTGTGTGTGTGTGTGTGTATGTGTATATGTATGTATTTAACCAAACGATTTTCTCTTTTCTTGGTCCCAGGTGCTGCTTGCAATAAACTTCCAACATTCACTCAATTTAGTTTCATGGTTTATAATTCTCTAAAACATCAGCCAAGTGAGGAAAAAGTAGACTGCATCTAATCCATCTATTCTGTCAGCATCTGTATTATAAGAAGAAGGAAACAAAGGTTGAAATGTTTACTCATTATATAATGTGCCTCATGTACTCCGAATTCCTGTTGTAACATAAGCACAAAAGTAAATTAATGCGCTTTCACCTTCTGGAACTGAAATGTATTTACATAAGCTATTCAATGACCCCTAAAACATTAATTTGAATAATTGTATGTATTTTGTACTTAATTAAATTTTAAGTGATACTTGGATTTCTGGTTGATGTTTCAAGGAATTGTTGCTTTGTTAATTTATTTTCATATTGACATTAAAGCCAAAAGAAATCATTAATATCTATATTTAGATAATTGAAATAGAGAAACTAAGTTTCATAAAGCCAAAGGAAAAAGTAACAGTATGTCACAGATGATGAGGACTGATTGAATTTCAGTCTGTTATTGTGATTCATCTTTCATTATTGAATATTAGTTTCACATAATGCCCCTAATAGCTTGAAGAAGGAAGAATTCTGTTAATTTAGGTGCTTTTGAGTTTGCACATAGTATTGATCCTTATTATTTGCACATGATATATTTGCTTAGTCACTAAAACTTACGTGTAAACACAAAATTATTATTTGTGACAGTTTCACATTCATTCGTGGACATGCACCTGTGGAAAAATCAGAGTCCCCCAATGAGCATGTTCCCAGCTGAGAACAACAAGGCAACAGTTGGCCTTCTCGTTTCAACTCTCTTACTGGAAACAAGTATCCTTTCACAGTCTACTTTGTCCCAGTTTTCCCACTTACGTTCTTTTTAAAAATATTTTGCTTTTTAAAATGGACTCAAGTATAGTATTGAAGTACTGTCTTGTGTTCTGAAGTGTAAGAACACTGTGATTTAGTTATGGAGAAACTAAGTATATTTGAAGCTTTATTCAGGCATGAGTTATAGTACTGTTGACTACATGTTCAATATTAACCAAGAGTATGGCAGCATTCAAAAAAGGCAAGAGGAAATTCTCTGATCTGTATATGAGGCTGCACCACATAATGCTAAAGTAACATCTAGAGTACTTGGTAAACCTAGTGAAAAGATGAAAAAGTGGCTAACTTTATAGATTCATGAGATGACAGCTGATAAAAGTAGTATAGTTGAAAGCATTGTTATGAATCTGGAAGCCAGCAAAAATGGCCAGTAACATAGTAAAACTTTTTCTCAGCTAATGCTGACTAGCTTGCACATTTCAAATGGTGATACAGTGTGAAAATGTTAAACTTGAAGGTAACACAGATTCTATACATCAAATGCTGCAGAATAATTTTTTAAATACCTGCTAAGTATTGTATAAGAAAAGAGTTATAGGGAAGAGCAGATTTTCAATGCTGATGATACTGACTTGTTTTACATGGAGACTGGCAAACAAGCATATATAACGTAAATGGCCTCCAAAACTCCAGGTTTTAATTCATATAAGGATTGTGAAAAATCACTATTGTGCACCAATGCCAAGAGCAACTTTAAGTGAAGACCCTCTAGTGATAACACACAGCTTAAAAACCACAAAGGGAAATTTTTGAACTATATGCTGGTCTGTTGGGATGGGAAATAATAACATGGTTGGTGTTAAACATACTATGTGATTTGTCCTACAACTGTTTCATCCCAGAAATTGAACAGTATCTCCAGAGAAAAAACCTTTAAAGTTTTAATATCCCCAAACACTCTCTTATCTAACTATTCAGTTGTGTCATAGTGAAAGATTTCAAGGCTCGCTATGTGAGGAAGCTTTATATCAAGGTTTATTATGCTCCAGGCACCAACATGGAAGCCACTTTATAGACTAGTCAAAGTCAATCACTTTACATAACATTTCATTGAGAGCATGGGACAGAGTCAAGTCACCTACTATCAATATCGTGGGAAATGTTTGAAATGTGTGAAAAAAAATTAAGGCATTGAAGATGTTACAGAAAATATAAGGAATACTGCCAAAAACCAGTGTCTAGTGCATGGCAAAAAAAAGTGAAAAAGGTTTTCATGACATGAAAAAGAAGATAGGAGAGAATTTGGGCAGAGAACACTAGAGAACACATGACCAAAGACCCTACAAAGACCATAAAACAAGGAATCAGAATAAATGATGACAAAGAAGTGTATAAAATTCTAAATTTAAGACGTGTCCTCAAAATGGCAACACCATTAGAATGGGATTCTGCCTTGAAACAATTTTCAATGACCCGACTGTCAAAATGTAAAGGTAGAGAAGTTTTGTAACAAAAATGGAGTAGTCAATCTTACAGTCCAGAAACAGGACCCTAGAACCATCAAGGGAGAAAAGCACAAGCCAAATGCACAACCCTATCCAGAGAAGCAGCAACACCAGAGATTGAGGCAGAGATGAGGATATGGAGAGAGGGAGCAGCTGAGGACACTGGACTCATGGAAAGAGAGGGACTGAGTGATGGTGGCCAGGAGGCAGGCTTGCAGAACGTGCCCTTTGGTTGTTTAGATTATTATATATTCCTGATCATGTTTGTGTATACCCTCCCCCCCCAAAAAAAGAAAGAAAAACAGAGGGAATGGAAGCAAATACTGTTGAATGATGATGTACAGAGGAGATTATAATCATTGCAATGAAACGATGTTGTAAAGCCGATGTTCTCCCATATACACTATCACTCAATTCGCAATTAAAATAATAATAATGACATGGGAGAGTGTGACTCTGCATGCAGCCTCATAAATATGTGTCTAGCTTCCACTGTGTCTACCCCTTATGCCCAAATGTTTAAAGATCCAAGGTAAAAAGCCAAGCAGACAAGGCTGACATCATTTTTAGTTAGTCTGAGACAGAAAGTTTCCAGAGTTATTGAGTTGCAAGAGCCAAACTCGAGGGAGAATTGGCAGATGTCAACCTGCCATAGTTTTTGATGTCTGTTTGCTACAGAATGAATTCCACCAGCATCTTTTTTGGAATAAACCAAAGTTAAGAGACTTAACAACACAGCACATTTCCCCATCACATCTCTATCAAAAGTATGATTCTCGTTAATGTTTGTTGGAGTGATATTTTCCACCATTGAAGGAATACGACTATGTGGAGAATAGCATGAGAATGATTCTAGTCCCAGATGTCAGCCCACTCTATACTTAATAAAGGTCAAAATTGCTAAGGAAAACACTACTTATAGACATTGGGTAGAACAGTGTTTATTCACAGAAAAGCAGAATAAGATCATTTTGAAAAGTGGGCATCAATCCTCCATAGGCAATGGGTCACATTCTGCAGCCAACACCAGATGGTGGGTTATACATACCCCTTTCATGCTACAGGCAAAGTACTTTATCCCGTCTCACTCTGGAATAGATACAGCAATGGAGTTGGTCAGATGTCATGAAATACACTCATAAGTAGAACACTAAAGCAAACATCAAGTGTGAAACAAATGTTACCAAACAAGGCATTTTCATATAAGGAGACGTTTCAACCCAGAGGTCGTGAGTGGACATCCCAGAAGAGGGGCAGAGAATCATGTAAATGCTTCTTTCGCAACAACGTTTTTTACAAAAATTTAAATGCTTAGTTTTACTTTTAATTATTTAAGGATTTTCTTTACATTTATTACTGTACTGTACAGAAAATGTAACTTGAGGCTGTTGTTGTAAGGTACCATCAAGTCAGTACTGAATCATAGCGACCCTGTGCACAACAGAATGAAACACTGCTCAGTCCTGGGTCAACCTCAAAATAGTTGCTACTTCTAAGCTCATGGCCACGGTGTAATCCATCTCATTGGAGGTCTTCCTCTTTTTTCTGACCCTCCACTTTACCAAATATTTTATCCGTCTCTAGTGACTGGTCACATGTGACAATATGTCTGATGTATGAGAGACGACATTTGACCATCCTGGCTTTCAAGGAGCACTCTGGCTGTATTTCTTCTAACACAGATCTGTTTGCTTTTTTTGGTAGTCCATGGTACTTTTAATATTCTCCTCCAATGCCATAATTCAAATGTATCAATTCTCGAGTCTTCCTTATTCACCGCTCAACTTTGGCATGTATATGAAGTTATTGAAAATAACCGTGGCTTCAGTCAGGCCCACCTTAGTCCTCAAACTGACATTTTTGCTCTTCAACACTTTAAAAAGGTCTTGTGAGCAGATTTGCCTAATGTTACATGTCGTTTGATTTCTTGAATGCTGTTTTCATGAGCTGATGCAAGCAAAATGAAGTCCTTGACAACTTCAGTCTTTTCTCCATTGATATGGATGTTGTTTATTGACCCAGTGGTGAGGATTTTTGTTTTCTTCACATTAAGGTGCAACCCATAACCGAAGGCTGTGGTCTTTAATCTTCATCAGTAAGTATTTTAAGTCCTCTTCGCTTTCAGCAAGCAAGGCTGTGTCATCTGCATATCTCTGTTTGTTAGTGAGTCTTCCTCCAATTCTGATTCCACATTTTTCTTCATATAACCCAGCTTCTCGGATTATTTGTTTAGCATACATATTAAATAATTATGGTGAAAGAATACAACCCTGGGGCACACCTTTCCTAATTTCAAACCATTCAGTATTACAGTGTTCTGTTCAAACCACTGCCTCTTGGTGTATGTACCGGTTCCTCATGAGCACAATTAAATGTTCCAGGATACTCATCCTTCACAATGTTGTTCACAGCTTGTCATGATCTGTACAATCAAAAGCCTTCATGTAGTCAATAATGTACAGGTAAAACTCTTTTTGATATTCTCTGCTTTCAGATAAGATCCATCTGACATCAGCAGTGATATCCCTTCTTCCGCGTCCACTTATGAAACCGGCTGTGTCTCTGGGAATTCTCTATCAATGTATGTTTGCAGAAGTTTTTGTATTACCTTTAGTAAACCTTTCCAGACTTGGGATATCAATGATATTGTCTGATGGTTTCTGCATTCCGTTGGGTCACCTCTCTTTAGAATGGGCACACATATGAACCTTTTCCAGTCAGTTGTCCAGGTAGTTGTCTTCCAAATTTCTTGG